TGATAAACAAATAATAAAAAAAATAATGAACAATTTCTGGACACAAAACGAAGAATAAAGATAGAAAATTAAGTTTGAATTTAATTTATTCCTCACAATCCTCATAGATAAAGAGAAATACTAAAAACAAGTTGTAATTTTTTTAATGAAAAATTGTAAAATACTTTAATTATTTGCGGCAGATAAATAAAAAAAAAAGAAAAAAGAAAAAAGTTTTGGCTTTGCATGAACAGAAGCACTTAAAATTCTTACTTATATATTGTTGTTTCATAAAATGTTTTAATATTAATAGGTTTGATAACATAGGACCCATGTTGTTTCCAACTCAGCAGCCAGTAGAGTGAAACAAGAGCACCATTAGTTATTTGACAGAACGATGACGTCAACCTTCAAACAAGGGCTTATTTGCCACTGTGAAAGAGTATAAGGGGTAGTATGCTTTTGAATTTGGTTTAGGGGTTAATCTGCCACTGATAGTAAAGTTCAAGGGGGTTTTTACATGATTCTCCTTTGTTTTTCCTGAGTGTACGAGAGACAGCATGAAGTGTAGTATTATCCACTGACACAGCTACCCTCAAGCTTCACATTGTCACACAAGGCAATGGTTTCCATGGAAGAAATACTAACCACATCATTGGAGTCATCTGATGGTCCTGCAGAAAATTTAAAAATCAGTTAAACTGCAAAACATCCAAGATATACATTATTATAGAATAGGGGAATATTTTATGCTATAAAGCCTCAGTCAAATAGTTGCATATTGAATAAGCTAGAGTTATCCACGCCAAACAACTGAAAGAGGGATAGGAAGGAGGAATTAACCAAAGAAAGGGATCAAAGATAAGAGAGTAAACTACGGTTTATAGAAAAGAGAACAATATCTCTTCCTAAATGCAATCCAAACTTCACCGTTAAAATAGTAGAATTATCTCATGCATACACTATATGACACATATATTTTGCAATTTCACTTCTATTATAGTTTTGGAATGGCCATTAAGCTGTCTATTTTGTCCCCTAAGCTTGATTGCAAACTAATGCATTATTACAAAAGAAGTCAAAAGTCAAAACACAGTATATATGAGTTTAAAATGCATACAACACAGACCTAGAACTGAGCTGGGACAGATACAGTATCAGATGAGTTTTCATTTGAATTCTCAACGAAAAAGGATTCCCCTTGAGGACATGCTCTTAAAATCAACAAAGTCTACCATCCTTTTCTCAGAGGATATCATTGAACTCGTCATTTCAGTAGACTTAAAAGAGCACTTGAAGAATCAGAGACACACTTTCCAGTCCCATACAAAACTATTAGGAGAGTTATCACATTGTCATTCGATTGAAAGCTATCCGTCTCAAATCCCCTCTGCGTGCTCTCCTCTCTCTTCCAAAAGCTCTCGATCCCACTCCTTTTTCTCTCGATTGTAATTTGTTTCATCTCTCTGTTCCGGTATTCATGCGGCTAGGGGACTCTTTCTGAATCCTCTCTCCTTTGAATCTTCTCACATTTTCTCCAATTTCACTCTTAATCCATGCTCTGGTTTTCAGCTCTGGTACCTCGGTTCTCTCTCTCCTTTTATCTCCAGATCTGGGTTTAATACCCACGAGTGAT